TTTCTTAAGACAGTTCTCAATAAAATAACTCCCGGCTTACCCACTGGCTATGGACAGGTTTCGGTGATATCGCACTTGTGCCTTTTTGTCACCTGGCATGTTGCCAGAATTTCTTAACAGTATTCCTCAGATACGCTTTTCTTATTAAGAGATTATAGATACCTTAATGCAGTTAATACCCAAATAAAGTAAAAGAATCTCATCGATATGCCCAGGTACTACTTGAGGGCTTCCTTCCGATGTGAGAAAAATTCATGCAAATGAATGAAAAAGCGTCAATATGATCTCCGTTGTCCGGCCTCACTACTAGCTAAAGTCTTTGGATTTCGATCACTTCCAACCAGCATATGTGGAATGTCTCAGGCCCATGGGACCCGGGTAAGACTGGCTAACGAGGGCCAATGAGGCAGAAATGGCCATCCCGATACCTTTTAGTACGTTTCGACACGTACTTATGAACGTATACTTCTAGTCGCTGTGCGACTGACTGCGAGGGCTCTATATTGAACCTTAAGGCCTCATTGGTAAGCGCTCTTTTACTTTAGTCAACCGACAGAATGACGAGCCAATGGCTCAAGGGTCAAAGCGCTGGTTAATAACGTTCAATAGCTGAAGAAGACACTTTCGAATCTCGGGTCTTGCAAACCTCAGGCTGGATAAGGCTGTCTGATGACGGCTAATAAGCCAGAAATGGCCATTCTAGTCTCAGTTTGTAACACCTGCTCCAGTGCCCCTTGCCTGGGCAATGAGTTGACATGCATGGTTGATTCTAAAACCATGACCCAAACAGACAACTGTATGAGAAAAATGTTTAAAAACTCGTTATTTAAGTAAATGTGTTTAAGAAATTTCTAATTTTGAAGGTTTTGGTAAGCACGTAAAATACGACCCAATCGATCAAAGCCAGCGAAAATTTTAAAGTGTTAATCACCATTGCAAGAACGATCTGAACCTCATCGTAATTGAAATTCCAGAATAAGTTCAAAGAAATGTGACGGAAGGAAATTTATTTTAGGGAACACAAAATGGTACGTTTACGATTGCACCTGACAATTAAATTTAAATTTATTAGTCACTGACCAGCAGTTCCGCAAGTGAACTTACGAATTACCTCTTAATCGATGCAGCCAAGCCGTATTCCAAAGTAACTGAAGCAATGTATAAATGGAAGAAACAACTAGCAATTCTCGTGAAACTGCGTTGGAATACCTACTCGAACTTTGGGCTGTTCGGTAACAATCATACATTACACTGCACGTAACGTACAAGCATATGTATCCGAACATTTTTACCAAACCATTATTTTCCAACGTAATTTTGCGGCTTTATTCACTCGGTTGTTTGCATGAGCAGACTTCCTCTACGTTTAAAAATTAAGCTTACCTTGTACGCCGATTTTCAATTTTTAGGAATTTTCCACTTTTCTAAAAAAGCTGGTAATGCTAAACAACTTAATATTACTTGATAAATCGCAATATGCCCCATTTTTAAGAACGAAAATTTTTTTATTGCTGTAAGATTTTGGGGGCCGCGGCTTCGGCTGTGTTTGTGTAGCAGGGAGTTTCTTGTAAAAATAATTGAATTTCATGAGTTAGAACACCTATGGTAGCGGACACAAAAGGGGGACGACACAGAAACGGCAGATTGATAAGGAATTGCTCTGAATCGTTTTTGTCGCCATTCAGTAAGTCAGTGCTTTGCTCACTAGCAAGGACAAAGAACACAACCATGTACACACACGGCAAAGATTATCCCCTGCCGGGGTCTGCCACAGGGATCATAAGCACTTTATAGAACATCAGTTCATCTGTGTCTCGCCATTTTGCATTCTCCGTTACTAGAAATTGGGTAGTTATTCAATCTATAGTAATCATACGTCGATCTTTCTTCCTCCCTCTGTTATCATAACTTGGACGGGTTTGGCCTGGCAGGTAGTGGTATTTTTGTGACGTGTGCCATCCATAGGTGTTATGTATTGAAAACGGAAGGCAGTTTGTAGGCAGGACGAATGTAATGTATGTAAACCAGAATGCTGCCTCTTGGCAGAATATCATGTAGGCATAACAGAGGACTGTCTGTAGGCAGGATGTGCACTGAGGACAAGGGGACAGTTCAAGTGACGAAGCATCTTAACAAAGGGAGCTTTATGACGGGACTTAAACATAAGGGGCTGACAGGTAGCCATGCCGAGCAAAGAGAGTGATGAACCCGCTGGCCAGGAGTGAAGGCTGGCCAGTCAGAACAATAAAAGGTGTGAACGCGTGTCCGTGACCTTAGCCGGCGCTAGACGCCTGCATTGTGTCATGATGTCCCAACACTACGGGCGGGCATACACAGCAATAAGGTGTCTGATTTGTCTAGGAATTCAGTGGATCGGTGTGCATCTATTTGAATATACATACGACAGCTCAACCGTCCAGTTCGACGTTCCAGCATGTGCTTCAGAACTTACGGTGACTTGCGCTTCAATGAGATTTAAATGATAGTGTAATTTCGCTGCACCCACTACACGCTCTCTTCGCCAATCCGCGCCTGGTGTTC